AAATAGCTACCCAGTCCATTTTATGTCCCAAATATCTTCAAATAAGTGAATTTGTTATTAAACATTAACCCCTCCTCATGTATATATAAAAGAACTGGTCAGAGAATGTTGTGAAAAGGGAAACGGTAACTGAATCCAGAATCCTCTAATTCAGACTGAGGACTTTGACAGGTATCCTAAGAGTGGAAGAAATAAGTAGTATAACACTTAACTTCACTGTACACTAGTTTTCCTAAATTTAATCTTTTGATCTTATCAGCCTGATCAGGCTCAAGTAAATCTACTGATCTATGTGGTTTCACACTTGCATCTGAAGAGGACAGTTTAATGGAAGCTGAAAATGAGATGACTGCTTTTGATCTCCAGGGAAGAAAATTCTCTAGCCTCATAATCTTTGAGGGCGGGGAGGGGGGAAATCAGCAAAACTATCATCTGGTAAAACTAGAACTACACAGCACAATTATCTACAATGAAACTTCAGTAAGGTCTACAATGTACTAATGCATAACATATTTTGATTAATTTTATCCTAAAAGATTGAATGCTATTCTCAATATTTCTTAAATGTGTTTGACTATCTATGTCTCCTTACTCATCATCTTATTGCAGGAGAGCATAATAAAACTTCTAAATCCTCTACTGAGAGGCTGAGAACAGAAGGAAAAGGTATATTTAGGCTGATTCATTATTAAATGAATGATTTACATACAGAATATTTTTCAAGTGCTTCAGCTTCTTTCATTTTTATCACTTTAGGTAATTCAGCTAGTTAACAAGAAGCTATCAACCTGAATACACCTTTCCCTTCTTCTGTTCTCAGCCTTTCAGCATAGGCTTTAGAAGTTTTATTATGCTCTTCTGCAATAAACCAGCAGAACTGATTCAGAATGCTCTTTACAGAGTTAACAAGTTCTACAAAAGTTGAGGATAGACAAGTATTCCCTGTATGTGTGCTTGAAGCTTTATAATTTACAATTATAGTTCGCTCAATGCACACCCCAACACAGGGAACCAAAAATAAATATTTAGAGCAGTACTAGACATTGCTGAGCCATCTTAAGAAGCCATTAGACACTTGATTCCATCACACATAACCATGCTTTTTACAGAATACGCTATGAATTCATAACTATAAGATACTAAGAAAACACTACAAGAGCAGGAAACATTTTAAAGCATTTAACAAAAGACTAGAGATCACAGAATGGTTGAGGTCAGAGCTAGCAATCAAAATAAATATTTTCAATGTGTTTCTTCCTGTAATTCCTTGAGAGCCAGGCTACTTCCCATGATTTATGGTTTTAGGTACATACATTCAACAGCTTGCTATTTTTCTCCTACAAGTCCTTATTCTTTTAGATAATTTTCTTCAGGCTTAATTTCTGCCCCCCTCACCCCATCAGTTATGTCAAATTCTGAGTACTTTAAATTGAGCCATACTTCAATAATTAATCCTAAAAGTGTAAGCTTGAGGCATGCTTCTCGTAAGTCCTTGTTTATAAATAAGTTTGTTATGATTGAAGCCTATGACCCATCTGAATTCACCATTTTTTTCCAATCTTAACTGAACACCAAGAAAGTTTATTTCCGTAACCTGCAGTTGTCTGAAATGAAGCTGAGCAGCCCTGAGAGTCACTGTTTTTTGCAAGACTACAGCTCCCAGCTCCATTTTGCTCTCTACAATGACTGTTGAAACTTTTGACCAAGTCAGCTGTTCTGGGAAGACACCCTCCCAGACAGCACACACATTTGGAGGTGGATCTATATCAGGACAGCTGAAGTAGTTACTGCCTCCTGTGATCCTCATCTCCTTGCAGAAACAGGGATGGCTGGAGAGCTTGAAAATCAGTTCCTGAACTGCTAGACTGCAACTCAACACATTCACAGAAACCAACAGCAACTTTGTTTTAAACACCTATATGTATTAGGTCATAAGCTGTAACGGTTCGTGAGCTGTTCGCAAACAACTTGGCAGTCCTGACAACTCCTGCAACAAGGGCATGGCAAGACATTTAAGCTGGGACACATTACAGTGTTATCTGCCATCAAATATGTCATTTTCCAGAAAACTATTGAAATTTTTCTTCCCAGTTAATCCTGGGCAGGTATTTTCATTCCAGAATATGAGTGTCTTGGAGTTAATACATGTTAAAGCTGAATACAGTTCACATGGAAAAAAGGTTGTTCCAAAACTGCTATTCACTTCAAAAACACCCTCTAAGTATTTCAAGACAATAGGACAAGCTAAGGACATTCTTCCTCCAAGTGTTCATGATCAGAATTAAAAATTCCCCCCTTCAGAGAAGCTAAAAATAGGAATATAAAACTAAGTATTCTTGGTTAATGGGTAAGTCGATTAAAGTTTAGCAACAATTTTAAGCATATCGCTCAAAAAATTATTTGTCTCTAACTGATAAGTATTCCAAATGTTTCTTTAGGTTTCTAAATACACAAGAAACCATTTCGAAATGTTACACTGTTATTTGTTAGGAATTAGCTCAACTTGAACAAAAGCAGCATATGTTTCTCAAAAAGTAAGGTAAATTTTAGTGAATAAAAATGCAAATACGCATTTTAGCAGCCTTGAATTTATTAATCTGATAGGTTTAATTTCCATTTTCCTGCATCAGCTTTATTTATAAAGTGTCATGCCCTATAAATATGCTGCTATTTTCTATAGTCAAGCACCCTCTTAACAAATCTTCTCATTAATATGTAAATTTAAAGTCAATCGGTCTTCTCTCTGACAGCGCCATGAATTCCTAGTGCACTGTATAATCGGCTTTGACTTGGCATCCACTATTTATCATCAAAGATGTCAGTTAGAAAAATTATGGAAAATGCACTGCAATTGATATGACTGCAATCTACTTTGTCAACACTTAATTGTTCCTCAAATCATACATTTACATATAAACAGCCTAAATACTGATCCATAATGATGCAAATAAACTAAATTAAAAAACTCTTCTACTACACAAGATGCCCTGTTGTATGATGAGTTCATTTAAGAACCTATTGACAGAGGCATGCATTTTAACTAGGCCCAGAAAAAAATTCTGCTAATTTAATTGCTGAGTAGGTAGACAAAATAAATTTTGCACTGAAGCTCAGAAAGTGGAAACAAAGTGTTATTAATACTGTACCACTGATGACCAATTTTAGGTTAACACAGGCAGTATTGTTACACAAACTTTTACGCTCCTAGAGCAGAAGCCACAGCAACAACTGTCATCCATCCAGTTTCAGTGAAAAAAGTACACTAGAGTCACAGAAACCTAATTCCATCAAGACTTCCTAACTCTCAGTCCAAGACAGGAGGTCATCCTCTTCTCTTACTCTTCCTTTGTCCAATCACAGACTAAAACTGGCTTAAACAAATTGTGAAACTGTAGCTCTAGGCAAAGCAAATTATCGATTTTGATTCTTTCCAAAGGGCAGGGAAGAATGCAGAGTTGCTTTCTTTCAATAAGCAACATGTAATAAACACTCTGCCTCAAGGACATTAGGAAAACATATTACTTAAGCATCTCATTATCTAAAAATACTTTCCTTATTTTAGGCAACTTTCTGGAAAGCTATGTTCTTACAAACAACTTCATTTTCTTGTGAAATGAAAAAGGGAGTTCCAGAACCCAACTTGTAGTGCTGGTAGTGCAAAAATATGACTACTTCAGACATTTTTGCTATGTTTCTAGTTTTCTAATCATTGTAACCCCTGCTTATTTAAGAAGCAGTAAATATAACTGTGAACTAAATCAGACTGAAATTATCTGTCTAAATACATGTCCTTATAGTTATTTTCACATAATAAATTATACATTTATTAATACAGAATACCACCACATTTCAGTCTGATTCCCAGGCAAAAGGTATTAATACAGACAGTTTGAAAGAGCTTAGTGATAGCTGGTGTCATTCCGTATTCCCGTGCTGAAAAAAAGAAATCTTTAAAATTGTTAATATGCTAATTACAAACTACAATAATCTGCACTGAAATAACAATGCCTAACAGAAGTGTTAAGACGTATTAGCTGAGCTATAGCAGAAATACTTCAGTCTAAGGAAATAGAGAAATTTTAAAAAAAAAAAATCAAATTATGAAACTTTCTCTAAGTTTATTTAATTACAGTTTTATGCAACTGTACAAAGTCCATCTCCAACTACTGCTGTAAAATGGTATATTTATCAGTGAACCTTTAAACATGAATTAGTTTCATATTAAATGGCAAAACTCAACAGTAGGGCATCCCCAAGCCTGTAATAAATACAAAAAACTAGGGTTGTGTAGCAATTTTATGTAGTTCTTTCCGGAAGTATTCTGTCTTCTAATTTATTTTGTTATTCAGATTTAAATCCCTATTGAAACCAATGTTACTAGCATTGGTTAATTGAGCTATCTGCTTTTTTGTTATTAGAAGTGATAGGATTTGTATCTTGAATACATCTTTTTACAAATTTTAAGTAAGAGTATACTTAAACTTACATAACATAAATTAAAATACCACAACATTTGTCACATTTCACATTTCAAAAACATATACTCAAGTCTTCACACAGTCCCTCAGCACATTAACAAAGTCTAGACACGTAATGTAATGTTCACCATGCTGTGATACTGGGTATTCATATCTACAAAGAAAGTAGATTCTACCCTGTTTCAGGACAGAATGGCAAGCCTTTCTAGCTGTGACTCACATAAAATCCTAGAGCAAAGAGCCATGTCACTCAACCACAGAAAAAGGACTCTCTCCGCTGCCTGTGGGATGTACCCAGGGTAAATCAGAACAGGTTATAGCCTGCAAGAAGAATTTTTATGCTCTGAAGAAGGGTGGATGCCTTATACTAGTGAAACCTTAGAGAGTTAAGACTTATGCATTTGATTTCTGTTTTTATTGAAGTCTACATAAAAATGCATCTTAAAAGACTAAGTATATCCAACAATGGAAATAATTCAGAATGCAAGCACACAATAGTAATTTTAAAAGTCACAAACTTACCTTCCATGGGCTTACAAACTGTGTACGTGCATATCGAGTTAACATGTGGATTATAACAACTTGACCCCACTCCTCCACGTCAACCAACAAGTTACAGAGCTTTCGGTAGTTCTTGTGAATCAGATCTATTCTATCTGGACACACTTCCTCAAATGCCATCACAACGCTCCCAGCTACCAGCTAGAAAACAAAATACAAACCAGAAGGTCAATATTTCTTCTACAGTTCATCCACAAGTGAGAATCAGAATTAATACTAGCAATTCTCAGCAATTTCAAATTGTTTCTATTCAGTGAAAAGAAACAACAACAAAAAACCCTAAGCCCACAGAAATGGTATCTTATTTTAAATAGAATTGGGCTAAGTTTATTAGAACAGAGGAAACATTTGCTGTTTCTATTACACACATAAATCTTAGCTCCCAGCCCTGAAGACACAGTGCAATGTAAGCATAAATTTTTTTCTTACAGTTATAGTTTCCAAATAAATTATCAGAGAACTTGCAATTAACTCAGAAATAACAGGAAACAACAAGAAGTACAATGCAGCAATAAGCCTGACAAGGTCTGTTGGGATTCTCTTATCAACACTGGCGTGCTCAAACTAAACAGGAGCTGGGGTAAGTTTCCCAGCACTACTGGGATCCAAACTATTCTCTCAATATGGCCAAATGAACTGTCATATATGAAATTTTATATTTAGAGATTCATGAATACACTTTCCAAAAAAGGCATAAAAATCAGCAAAACATTAGAGATATATCAATACTTTTCCTGAAAGAACACAAGCAGAATTTCTGCATGTTGTTCAGCACTTCCCTAGCAGTTCTGAAATTACAGGAATGGATCATTTATGCCCTGCTATGTCTTCACACAGTTTTTTGCCTCCATAAGAAATAAATCTTTATCTATACACACAAAGATCCTTATACTGACTATGATTATAAAAACAGCTTTGTTATGAGAAATTTAAATAGATTCTCAACCTCAAAGCTTACCGAAAGCTTCTGATAGGGTATTTTCTTTTAAAAATAAAGAAAGGAAACATGTACTGGGGTTCCTGTTAAAATTTGGGCAGCAGGCTACTTTAACTATTGGAAGACCTCAAAAGCTGACCATGCATTATAAGGACATGTCATTGTGTGCCTGGAATTACTGTTCTTTCTCTTCTAATTGCTTTAATTAAGATTTGTTTTGTGTCAGAACACATGTTAAGTCAAATAACTAAAATGATGAGACTTTATACGAAGCAGCTGATATGTATGCAGTTAGCATGCATGCAGTATAGCCTTCTGGCAGCAAATTAATGTCATATTCTATCTGAGCACTGGGGATCTGCATTTCAACCTCTAAAATTTCCCCAATGACTTAAAGTAAGCAATTAAATAGAAGTGCAGTTTATTGAAATGGTACTTTTTGAGAAATATTAAATACAATGATATTCATATGTTACATTTTTCTCCCTATATTTGGCTGACATTTCGTTTATTAGTATGTGCCCAACATTACAATTGAAAGAAAACAGCTCAGAATACAGTCTTGCTATTATGCTAAACAAGTTTCAGGCTCTGTGGGGATTTTATGAATTACCAATAAGAATAAACGTGAAGTTGCATTTATTGTCTCCAGCACCATCCACATACTGGTACCTGCTGGTCCCAGCAAGTATACAACTCATTCCAGGGAGCAAAATTTGATTATTTGATAGAGCTAAATAAAACACACTTTACATCTAAAATAACTTGCTATTTTTTGCTGTATCACAAAAACAATAGCTCTTTTTTATGTTTTTATACTAAACTTTCTTCTTAATAATGTGCTGCAGTAAGCTATTCTGTAATTAAAAACGGCTGCAAGGTGATGCTTAGGTGTAGATTCAAAGCTTAGCAGAAGACAGTGGCTAAGTCCAGGCAAATCACTATGAGTCCTGAGTAGGTATTCAATTAGGCCGGACAACTTGAGTATGGAAGAGAGGAAGGGTGTTAGAACTTGCTTACAGCAAAGCAATTTTATTAGGATGCAAAACTCTGAATGACAGTTAAGGCCAGCTTGCACGGTACAGCGTGATGGACCTGAAGTTTTAGAAGAAAACGATAACACTTTTTAGGCCACAGAGACTTATTTTTTATGGTCACCGTCCCATGGGCTTTACAATGGGTATTCTACTCCTCTATGCTACCAGGCAGTATAGGGTCTTTTGACAGGTTTGACATACAAGGGGACAAAAGGAGGGAGGGGAAGGGGAGGGAGGAGAGAGAGACTGACACAGATCAATTCACTACTATAAGAATAGTCATAGCCTAATATCTAAAAACACCCTTTTAGGTTCACAGGTGAAGGACGATACAGATGCTCGTGTCCGACTATGGTTCTGGAGTGGATATTCTTGCCTTTTACTGCTACTAGTACTGCACACACATTTTGCTGTATTTCTCTTTCATTTGAATATGATATAGTCTGAAAACTGAAATAAAATACTACATACAACACTAGTTTAGATCTTTTAAAACTGAGTGCATATCCTGTGAAAAGAGCTGGCTTTTCAAAAGTTCAGTTACTGTGAGTAAACTGCAACAATTCGATGCAACGAAATAGTCATACTGAAATACGAGAGTTCTAAATAGTTACTTATTTCAATTCACATCATCACCTACTCAAGTTTACAATTAGAATGTTGTCACTTGTGAACACTTAAAAAGATATTAAGGAAAATTTGAACATACACTATGAAATGCAAAGGTGCATAGAATGAACAGGCATTTTATTCCTGTGGCAAGTCCCTAGATTTACAAGTTAATACAGCAATTGCCATACATCAAGACACTGTTTAAGATCATGCCCCTGTCCCCATTATTGCGTTTTCCAAAATTAGGCTTTTCATTTGAAGGGGGAATAAAAATGGAGAATGTAAGACAGACTGAAAATGCACTGGTAACAAGAGGATTTATCTGAGAAAATTTCCTAATGCTTTCTTAATAAGAGATTATTTTCTAGTTGACAGTTTCCCTTATAGTATGATCCTACTATACATCTAAACATCAGAGGAACAGCTAATAATCTTTGTTTATTAAATGCTCAACATTCCATAAAAATATTTAGAATTAAAACAAAATGATCCAATCAGAATATAAAACCAAAAAATATCGGTTTCCAAAAAACAGTCAGTTAATTTCCATCTCACTGTGTCAATAGTAGCTTTTTGTATAAGGAGAAAATATAAATCACTCCAACAAAACTAGCAATGAGCTCATCAAATTCAAATACTGCTTTCCATTTATGTATTTTTTATATTAAAGCAATAAACATGGTTCATTTGTCTTCCACTGGTTGCCACGTTTTTCTGTGCTGTTGCTATGAACTTCAGCCATTAGCTGTGCTCCAAGGTAAACTACATGAACCATCAACAAAAGTGACACCCAATCTATGGAGTTCATATTTTCTCCAGATTATCTATGCTAGTTGACAAGCTGGTAATGAAAAAAATCACACTAAGCAAATGGTTCCTCTAATAACAATAAATTTTCTATAAAATTATGAAGGGTACAAAACGTTTCCTTGCATCTATTTTGTCATGAATTCTAATTAACGCTGCGAAAACCTGAGTGCTGGGTCATCACAAGAAGTGCATCGAGGTTTGATTGATAATACAGTGCAAGTTGGCCTATGCTGCCAAGATTCCTCTCTCTTAAATTAATGGCCACCCCACCTGCCCTAATCATACAGCCCAAATGATATTCCCCTTCTTATTTCAATTTTCTGGAGGCAAGGAAACTGGAAAAGATCAGTCATTTATCTTCTAATAGCTGGATAATAGATCCATCACAATAAAACATCTGCACAAACTCAGTAATTTTTTTTCCCACAGAAGTGAAGGTTTTACCAACATTAAATCAATAAGTTAAGAAAACATTGTCTTATCCACACATTTGGGTTCTAAACTAAAACATTAACTTAACAGAAGCCTACTATTGAAAAGTAGAGAGCCCAGCTTTCTTTCTCCATTATCCTCAAATACACTGCTTTCGTTTAAGATCAAGATCTTCATTGCAAAGCCATCACCAATTCCTAGGATCATTTTTTAATCTAAGATGACTCACTTCGCAAGAATCTGCGCTTCATGTAGTAACCATGCAGTTTGCAAAAGAAATCTCAATACTCACATGTTTGTATAAAATCTTTTCACCCCCAAACCAGAATTCATACTAAGTTGCATTTGTTATATTTAGGAGTAAATTATCACAGCAGAACAGAATAATAAATTTATTTAAATATTAGAAGTAGTTTAATGTGCTTAAAATATTCTCATTCAAGGAGAAAACATTATTTAAGCCAAGGCTAAAGGAAAATTTAGCCCTTAGAAAAGAGTGTAAATCTTAACTAGCAATAAACAGATACCATGCAATAAGCTAAGTTGTTATCAGTCATCGCCCAAAACTTGCTTCTATCCCTTCCCGTATTACTTCACAACAGAGTTTTCTGGGGAACACCAGGAACACATACTTGGGAATCAATGAGCGTCTGCATGTCTGGCCAACATGTTTTGAAATTTCTCTCTAAAATTCTTCTGTCTTAGAAGAGTTCAAAAGCAGTGCTGCACTCTGTATTCTACCCGGTCCCAGAACAGGAGAGCACAAAATATATGTGGCCACATACTAACTCAGTTCTCTGGTTAGGGCTGAAAAAAATTTATTTTATTATGCAGCATCTGCATTTATATTTCCACACCTTCCTTATAAGGGAGGTATCTGCCCAAACAAAATAAAATCAGATAAAAGTTAAAGACACAAACTTGCAATAAATTTGCCAGCATCCATACAACTACATCCCAACTACAGGTGTACATTCTGTCTTTTCTTTTGAGATGCAGCTTTAGATACACTTTGGGATGCTTCCGTTTGGACTGAGAAATGCAAGTCACAAGTGTGCTTAACACGTTTGGACAACAGACGTGATTCCTGTCCAATATCAACATTATATTTCTTTTTTTTTAGCTTCTGTAACACAGGTATCATTAATAAACTTGATTTTTGTTGTTTACACAAAGTTGTAAAACGCACAGGCTATAAACACAATGCAGTTCTACAGTCCTTCACAGTATGCCAAAAGCAACTCAAGCAACAAATCCTGCCTTAACCCTATGCACCAAAGCTAGATCATCAGGCTTGTTAAATGTATGGAAAAAATAGAATTGGAGTGAAGTGATACAGAATCAACCAAAAAGGGAACTAGTTTCCTCTAAAATACCCAATTATACCTTCACGTGACTACATGACTAGCTACCTTTCTGAGAAAATAATTTTAGCATAAAATACACACATTTTCTTATCTTCCTTTCTACATAGAATCATGTCAGCTGCTCAATTACTTAAAATTATTAGAAAAATAAAAAGAGCATTTGTGCTCTTGTACCTGCTTATTAAAGTCTGAGGTACTTTTTTCTGTAAAGCAAGGGTAAAAAACATAACTAGGGGTTTCTTAAGGTTCAATAATAAAAATAATTGTAAACATATTATCTGTTTAAAAATTAGATATACTGGCACAAAATCACAGCTTTGTTGATACACTCTTAATTCCCAGTTAGCAACCCTTGAGGGTATGTTAACGATGGTTTGCACTTGATAATTTTGCATCTTAGATTAACTGAGAGCTTGGCTTTTAATTGAATCTTCATGTTAAGTCACTTAAGGAGTAGAGTGATCTTTCATTTATCTCACCAGAAATTTTAATGAAGTGCTGGGTTAAGGTTAAATCTCATCTTATTTTAAGTTTTGCTTACCTCAGCTTATATTAAAATTTACTACTGATTGAGACCTAAAAAATGAACACATTTCCTACAGTCTGATAAAATGGCTTCATTTTACTGTAGTAGAATTCCCATCCAGACAGTTTCTTGCTATTTCAAATGCAAAATGACTCTGGCTAATTTAAATACATTGTGCCTTTTCTGTGCAACATAAACTGCATTAATAATCCACAATAGCATTTCTCGCTGAAAAGAAAAAATCTGGTTCACATTAAATTTAGAGGCATCTATGTTTAGTAGCTATTTTAGCTCCCTTTAACATAGAGGTTATGGTAGTAAGTTTCAAAAACCCTGCTTAAGGTCAAATTGTTATAGAAATAAACAAATTATGAGTAAAAAAATACTTTTTATTAAAGCAAAGTCTCAAGCATCACTTGAACAACAGTCAACAGTTATATACATCACTAATGTTAATTACACTCTCCCTCCAAACATGTCTAAACCAATTGGAATAAGCAAAAAAAAACCCCAAACAAACAATAAAAAAATCATATGGTAGTTTTTCCTGGATCCAGTTATTACATGCAATGCATTATGGCTTGTCTGAGGGCTAGCAGCCCTTAAGTATACAGAAATGCCAAAAGTAATCTGATATTTCCATCAAGGGAAAAAAGGTGGAGAACCACTGACGTTCCACAATTCCCAAAGTCACTAAGATTCTCCCACTCTGGTATAGGCACTATTTAATGAAAACGCCATCACTTTCCCAGAAAACTGATCTACTGACTTTACATTAAAACTATCAGGAGATGACAACTGATATAGGTGCAAGGGAACAGCTTCTGTGCATTTAAACAGAAGGAATCCAAGGGTTAGTGTCAAGTAAACACTTGTGGTCCAAGTTCCACGTTATCACCATACAAATATCAGGCCATCTGACTGTCAAACAGGCCACTGAAGCTGCAAAACCTGAGAAATATCATTAATCAAACACATGCATTTCATAAGGCTATGACAAAATGCTGTTGGTCTACAGCTTGGACCCATTTCTAGAATTCCCATGGCAACAAACCTGACAACTTTCTCCACAAAGACTGAAAAATGTTTTCTAAAAGCATTTGTCTTTATGTACGTAGAAAGAGCCTTTTCTTTTATGTGAAGTGTATGAAATTCAACTTCCCTGAGAGAATACAAATTTCCCAAGAGAAGCTTAAATAAGACTTACAAGTAACCAACCTAAGGCTACATAGGCTACATATGTACACACCTGTACATAAAGACCACCACCCATAAGCAGCTGCATCTCCTCCAGTTTTAAAAGCCGTAAGTAGCTACAGGTGGCACTTGTTTCCACCACTGTGAGCAGATTTCTATGTTCTCCAATTAGAGGCAAGGAATAAGCTTATTCAGATGGGAGCTACCTGCTAATAAAACACTTGTGCACTATGCACTTTCTGTTAGTAAATGTGGAGGCTTTCTGGGAACATTCAGTGGAACATGACAACTGGTAACTACTTAAGGTGAGGCTTTTCTGTGCTAGACTAGTCTTCCCAAAGCTATCAGGATTAAAGAGAAACAGGTCCACTATAGATCACAAGCTCTGGACTCTGGAATGAAAGAGCACAGATTAATACTTGGTTTTGATTCAGAGAGTCCTGAAGAGAGATTTGTATAGTTCCTTTCTGGAGTAACAATTCTTCATATCACTTCCTGAAAAAGTAAAACTTCTGAAGCTCAGATGTCTCAGCCCAGGCTGGAATCAGGTCTTGCTAGGGAACAGACTACGAGGAATCAGAGGGAGGTAAAAGTTGTGGCAGTTAAACATATTACGTCTCCAAAGAAGTCTGGAAGACCCAATTCTAGACCATCATTCTTAGCTTCTTGACTGTGCTGACATAATAGCATTACTTTGACTACTGCTTCAGTTGGTGTAACAGAGGCACCAGAATTGTGGTGTGTAGTAAGCAACGGGCATTAATACCCTTATAAGTAACTCCAAGTGCCAGGATCAGTGTGCTGGGAAAAAGAAGATCCAAACCTACTCTATATTTTTTTCCTCCAACATTTTGTGAAAGTAAACTTGTAAATGACTAGTTGTTGGATAACTTGCCATTTACTGTAAGCAACAGAGACTAGGAAACAGAGTGAAAACTCTGGGATTTTATTTTCCTGCTATCAGCAATAAAAAGAAACATAGATGGCTTCTCAGCCTTTTATGCCTCCACAGGTATAAAGAATCTAATCTCACATTCACAGATTGCATGCACACGAAGAGCATGAACCACGGAAAGAAAATACACAAAGAACCACTGGGGGGGCAACTCCACAGAAGCACAAAGGCCTCTGACAAACGAGTACAGGTCAAACATAGATGCAGTCAGGAGAACTAACTAACTGATTTACTGTCTGCTGAGACATTAAGCTGACACTCTCCCTCAGTAACCCTTCAGTGGAAGTTGCAAGATGTCTTTTAGAGAACAGCACCATTTATGACCTGAACACCTGGACTGTGATAGAACAGCAGATGATATATTCCTGTGTGTTACAAAAACACTTGGCAAATAGGAGATGAAGGACCACACTATCCAGTACCTAGTAATACTTTCATTTACTCAAAAAGGATTACATTCACTAAATTAGTAAACTAAACAATAAGAACAAGAGAATGTTTTACTTTACCACTCTATTTTCTATTTGAAGTCTCTCTGACTCCTTGCTCAATTACCTTTCTGGCTTAGACTTAAGGAACTTATTTGCAGGGTACAGGAAGAAAAATAAAAGTGTGTGACTGTTGTGAGACATCCAGGAGTCCATACAGAAAACCTGTACCTATACAGCACATCTAAAATGTAACAGGAGTGTTAAATTTACAGAAACCCCAGAACATGGGTTTTACTTACCAGATCAGAAGCGGGAATTTTGCAAGAACAGACAGGTGCATGGACCAGGCACACTGTGCATCACACAGAATTAATTTATTCTTACAGTATCACAAATTGAAAAGACATAGCTAATTTCCCAATGAAAATGTTTATCCATAGAAACTTTTACACCGATTCATATAATTATGTAACTTTCACTTTCAAAATTAATTTTAAAGAAGCATACATAAAAAACATGCTAACTAAACTAGATTAGGACTACCCATGATGGAAGTAGAATTACTAGTCTTATTATAGGAGATGTTCACTACTACAGTCATAGTATAATGCATAAATACACAATGATACTTCTATCTAAAAACATATAAAACCACATCAGCATGGGTTAGGAAAGTGTATTACGTACTGCTGAATGACAGCCTCTGGAGTAAACTCTTTAAAAATAAATACACATGTAATAGCATACTGTTTCTTACCGTACTTCTATCCTTCAAAAGCTTTTCTATCACTTCAATTAACATTTCCTTTTGCTCTGGATCAAGACTAGAAGCAAAAATAAAAATTCTTTTTACTCATCTGGTCGGACATATCTGAAATTAAAAGAGGTTAGGTTTGTTGACCTTTAGACACAAGCTGCGAACCAAGAGCATTGAAAAAACCACTTACAGGAAAAACAAGTATTCCAGAGAACTGATTGTAAAAGAACTCGACTGAAAATAAAGTTAATCATGGAATACAGAATTGAATTCAAGGAGTATAAAATTAAATTATAAAGATTATTTTTTACCACTTGTGTGTGTTCTGTAAGAATCTCAATACTTAAATCATAAAAATTTTAGGACTTAAGAAACATTAAGACAGGCCAAACCATGAGGGAAAACTCGACTGAGTTTCAGATGCTAAGTCACAAGGATCTCACTTTTTTTGCAGAAGGGAATTTCAGTATGAATGAATTCAGCAGAGAATGAACATCAGGACAAAGTAGAATCATACCTTTATTATCTAATTATCAATACAATGCTTCAAGAAAGATACTTTGTTAGCTTCACTAATTTTAGTCAGAAGTATTGACACTCAAAAACTTGGACATTATATTCAAGCGTACCTATGCAAAGTTGGTGCGCAAGCTGATAAAAGACTGCTTTAAGTCCTATATAGATAGTAAAAATAGAGGAATACCAAGAGTTACAAAAACAGTCTTTTTACTGTCCTTCTCATACCCAAGGAACAGAGAAAAATTTGCCAGAAACATCCATTATTGTCAAACTTGCTTCTTAGGACCAACTTTTCATTCCAGCTGCTTCTTCATCATCGGTCTATGAGCATGGAAGAATTCAAAGCCAAGGCAGAAGAAAACAGAAAGTAGGTACAAGGAGCCATATGGACGTGTAGTTCTACACGCCTTTGAAAAGTCATTTCAACATGGATACAATTACAGATAAGTAAGGAAGTATTTGGTCATTATTGTCCACTTCAGTTTTAATGCTGAGTGATGAACTGTCCTAATGCATACCCTTTCCAGTTAGAGATTCACGAAGTGACTATCTAGCTACAAACTACTTTGCTAAGGCTCTAATATCTAGCAATATTAGAACATGCTAAATGGATAACAAAACTTTGTTAGAAGCCACCATTAGCAAAAGCAAATCAACAGCACAGTAGTCCATAAGTACTTTTATGACCACCTTTTGTTCCAAGTTCTATTTTTGTCAAAAAAGGTTTACTGTATCTTCTGCCAAGGAGCAAAACCTTCAGAGGAAAAGCCAAGTCTTTCTAAGAGGCCTTATTTCAAATTTTCAAAACTGGTATAAAATTTAGAGAGAGAAAGCAGTAAGTAATTATTACTGAGAAACTTTGAAATTCCAACACCAATTTTGTTATATGATTAAGAAAATCTTCAGTAAGGTCTCCGATAACTGACTTCACATTCCTCCCCCTCCTCTTTCCTGAAGTTTTAGATAAGGAAGACAGCATTCTTAGAGCAAAAGTAAAAGAACAAAGTAAAGAGCTAAGAGTGTTCTGCTCCCATTATGGTATCTACTAGTAATAGTATGGAATCTATTAATACTAGTGATGGGACCTTTTAAAAAGTCCTCTTCCAAATCTCGCTGCAAGTAGGTGCAAGTACACAGTAGAGTCTTCTGTTGATAGACAGAAGATACTAATAGCTCTGAAATGCACTTTAAGTGAAATAAGCAAGAGGTCTGACATTTTCAATGATAAAATTACTCCAATGTACCTGGTAATGTTGATTGCATTGGGCACAAATGTTGCTGTTCACACTATGCCTGAAATCTTTTCTGTTTGATATGTAAGCTTCCTGCTGTTAGGATTGATTGAACCACTAATGAACAAGCTCTTCTAGGTCAGGCATCCATCCAAACACCATGACACTAAATGCAAGGAAGATTGGAGTATCGAACCTGCATCCAGAAGTCTGACTGTAGCACTAACTGAACTACAGGACTACCAAACAGGTAGGGAAGTCATGGAAAGCAAAAAGTAAATGGAGCATACAGGCACTATTAGGATAAACTGTTACTACTTCTTACTGAAATGCTCACAGAAGATGCAGAAAATAGATGTATCAGAGTATATAAACTGTTGACTGATTTTCACATAAAAAAATCCATCCCCTCCAGAATTCTGACCAACTTCAGAGAGTGCTGTCTGCCAAAGGACAGCCTTGCTGCCAGTATATGATCTGCATCACTGAATTGTGGAGCTACCAGCTATGATCCTTGCTGAAACATCTGCTGAGATTGCCCGTTAAAGACTCTTATTTACAGGCAAGCCAATTGGGCGTGCCTGCGGACAAGTTAGTTTGACAGCTTCTTCACCAGTTCCCAGTACTGCTTCTTTTTTCTAGCAATACAGAAAACTATACTCTCTCCCTTGGTCCTGTGGTAAACCAGTGCTATCAGGTATGGCATTTGTACAAGTAAATTTTGAAAATATTACAATAGAGGTTCACATGCTTTCTATATACAGTTCCCAAATCCTACTACCAAGGACACAACCGTCATTTACAACTCCGCTCACAAGTAACCATGAAACTTATTCTAGTCCAGGTAAGGTGGAATTTGCAGCTACAGCAGTTTGAAAACTTGCATTATGATGCCTAAGATATTTGCATGAAATGAAAACTTGTGAAGTATGTACAGGCTCTCTAAGCCATTAAAAAAAACCTTTACAGAACACTAGTTTTCCTTTGCGATGTGAACTAGACATCCATTTTACTACCAGTCAGGAATCATGGAAACTAGAAGGGAATGAAGCTAGTTTCTCCAGATTGCGCTGCTGTGCTTTTTTAGCACATGCTGTATTTTTTACCATAACAAGTATCTTTTTAAGGTATTTTCAAGGATGATTTCAAAATCTTGACACTGACATCATAAGCATAGGATACTGTATGCACCAGAGAAGAAAGAATACAAGTTATATTTGAAGATGCAATCATATCTGGAGATCGGATGAAAGACTGATAAAAGATCTTTTAGTAACCAAGTTAGACTTCAGCATCTTCCAGTTTTGCTCCAATCACCAATAAGCTCTTTAAGCTGGACTAGTAGAATAACCTTTACCTGTCATGAAGAGAAGAAATGGAAGCACCAATTTAAGGTAAAATTATGTGGAATAGCCTGCTGTCCAGATACTGCAGTGCCTTCCTGGCACTAACAGACCATTACTGCCAAACTCCCCCAAAAAGTTTTGATACTATCAGGAAATCAAAGAACATTCTGTGTATGGAGAACAATTCAGGCTAAGAAGTCTTTTGTGTGCTGGAACCAGACGCTAACAAAAAATAAACCACTCAAATGGTAAGAACAGACTTAAAATCCATTCTGTCTTGTTAGGTTATGTGATAAAAGGCTTATCTGTACATAGAGGACTAGAGGTGGGGGAAACTCCAGTAACATCATGACCCAGCTGCTCCCAGGGCCACCACATGAGAGCAGTCAGCTCATTTAAAAAACAAACAAACAAACAAAATCACCAGAAGGAAGGAGCTCTTGCCCAGGTTCTTTGGAGAGCTGCCACAGAAATGCCTTATGGTCCTGAAATGAACCTACCACAACTCAGAGAGGCTCTCCAGTGCACCTTTCAGCCTTAGTGGGGTTACTAGCTACAGGGCTATGAAACTTACATGATGCTAGAAAGAGCATTTGGGGATTGTATAAGACTTACTACAGGATGTTTATGGGAGAAATGAAAGGCAGGGAAATGGAAAGATCTAGATGATGATTTCAGGAGGAACAAGCATAGGAAAATAGAAGGATAGGTGTATAAAAGTAGCTAGCTGTATGCAAAAACTTTGCTGCTCAGCACACTTGTCTGGCCATGTTCTGCACCTGATGGCCACAGTCTGTTCTGTCTTCTCATTAAACTTTGTTTCTATCAGGATTCCTGGGTGATGCAGTCTCTATTCTGTGTGCATGTGTGATATGGAGGTCTAAGCTGCAGCAACAGGTCCCTATAACCCATATAACTGCAGCATCAGCAACCAGAGCAAGAATATATGTCAGTGTGTGATTACTAGAGAGTATCAAGCAAGACAAGGTGGCTTTGGGAAGTCAGGTATTGAAGTGGGGCCATAGGTCTGGGCTGGACATGCGTGTGTGTCTCTGAGTGAGAGAACTGGAGATTTTGGCTGCCAGAAGGACCAGGGCATCCAGGCCAACTACTGGAGAGATTGTAAGGTCTGAAGGTTGACTAATACCCATGTGTGTGTCTCAATCTCTCTGTTTCTCTCCCCTCTTCCTCTCTACCCAGTGGGAGACAACTGGAGGCGAGGGGATATATGGGCCAGTTACCACATAGTCTGAGTGTCTCAATCCAGCTACTGTGGGATTCATGGTGTTTGAGTGAAAGTGTGGGGGCATGCGTGTGTCTGACTGAGGTCTGTAACAGCAAGTGCAGTGGGGTTACAAGCATTATGCGCTTGTATGTGCCAGTGTCAGCGACTTGGGAGACTGGGGATCCAAGGCCAGTTACTGGAAAGACTGAGCATCTAGGATCATTCCTGGGGGATCCATATTGTACATATACAGGTCCACTAGTGGGCCTGCATCCTGATCAGCCAGAGCGTGCAACAGGATAAGGCTGTTGGTGCTGGTTTTGTCTGCATGAGTGCTGCTTTCTGTCTGTGCTGACCTGCATAGCTGGCTGTGTGCATATGTGTTGCATATATGTGTGTATGTGCCTGTTAAGGAAGACATGCTCAGCCTCGCTACTGGTTGGTCTATGGGGGCATGGAAATACAGCAGCCTCAGGCTACCTGATTCAGAACCCCAAACACCTCTCACCTTACTCTTTTTGGCACAGGCAAAATAAAAGGGAAATAAGTAGTAGAATAAGTGCCTGGAAAGATACAGGTCCTGTTGCCCCCACCTGTGTAAGCCAGTCCCTACCTCTTTTTGAGAGTTCTTCCACCACAAGAATTTCTGAATTGAAAACAGGAAGATTTGGATTTGCAAAGATAAAATTTCTATGAGTTAGTATTCATTGGCCACGTGTACTGCAAACTACAGCAAATGCCTTCAGGATGAAAGATACAGACGCTAAACAGATAAATCTTCAATTCTGAGAATACCCATCAAAATAGTTGCTACACAGATGACAATAAATGGTATATTAAAACCAAAAGATAGTGTATCAGTTTCTTTCTGTATCTCTTCCTAGTTGTCCTGTTACTCTAGCAAGCAAAAGACTTGAATTTCAACCAAACCAGTTGAGTGACAGAACATCTACACACTTCATATTTCTTAAGAAACAGATCCGATATATCTGAGACACGCCAACCCCCCCAGTAGTCTTAATAAACATAGCCCACAACTATCCTAAAATTGCTTTTCAGTATTTGTCAGAATCACTTACCTGTACAGTTTTTGGATTGCATGGGCTGCGTTCTTCCTCACATAAGGAGATAAATCAGAAGAGGCTTCCTTAATAGCAAGCATCATAATAGGAACAATAATTGGGACACGGATACTGGATAAAACTCTTAAAGCACTTGCACGGATTAACTGATTAGGATCCTAAAGAATGGGAGAGAAGGGGAGAAATAAATAAGATACTGCAGAGAATTTAATGATGTGTTTATGCACTATTTATGCTAATTAGTGACCACACATTAAAACATGTAAATCTGAGTATCAGTCAGGTTTGCAAGCTAAAACCACACTAATAAGAAAATGTGCCAAATTTCACCCAAGAAACTTTCAACAACCAAAAAAAGTAAAAGAAAGTAAGAAAATATTGAAATATTATGAAAAACTGGAATCTGGTAAAGGAAAACATTAACATAATTCACTTTCCCAAGCAAATATGGGAAAGATGGATGAAAGAGACTAATATTTTATTTAATGGCCTGAAATATTTTCTGTAATCCAAATGGAATTCAGATATTCTGAAAAACACAGCTAGCTCAGTTTTATTACTTAAATATAAAAAATGTTAAATGGAAGCGTGGTTCTCAGTTGCAACACTCCCACTCAAGTTCTTGACAACACATCCATTCTATGCTTTACCAGGAGATATAAGCTGAAGCCAAGAACAAAACGAATTTTCTTAAGAACATGTTAAAATACTAAGCTAAATGTTTCAAGACTTTCTTCTATTTGCTACCCTCCCTTCTTTCATCCCAGTACTTGCTGCCCTTTTATAATGCTAGGGTTAGCTTGGAGATCCAACAATAGCACAAGGCATCTGTATTTGGAGGAACTGTTATGTAAACCTCGTCCATTAATCATGGGCTTGGGACACATGGGAAAAGTGTTGCTTAATCAAGTACTAAATTCTCTAAAATCTAGCAAACTGAAATTGTAGCAGTATTAATTCAGCACACTGTCTGCCAGAAGGGCACTTCCCAAAGAACATTCTTCCCCAAGGGCTGAGAGTTGGCAACATGAGTTTTCGGACTGGTATTACTTCATGATCAGTTCACCTAAGCTCTCAAAATTCCTACATCTTAGCAGCTTGTCAGTAGTAAGAATCTGGATGGCGAAAGCACTTGACAGTGTTTTGCAAAACAGCTTGTTCTTACCAGAGTTTGCAAAGCTCATCTCCAATCACACAAGTTTAAAATACCCTAAAAAGTTCTTTCTAAATAGGGAGAAAAAGTCTCCACACATAAGGCTGAATTACGATATACATTACAAAACCAAAATCAAAACATTACAAAATACTAAGAGAGAATTAATTACATTTGCCTATCCTTCCATAGCAGGCTTAGTAATTTCCTTAGTTGCTGCAAATCTCAGCCAGCTTGGAGTCTATCTCCTAGTCATACCACCACTTCTTTTTAAGTTACTCACAGCCACAACATTTGAGTTAGCCCCTCTCCTTTTGTTCCCACTATCCACAGATTTTTAAGAGTTACGCCATGATAAATGTTCACTGCATACCTATATCATTAAAAACATAGGATACAAAGTAGTTTGAGTTTCAGCTTTTCATGCCAGTCACAGATAGTAAAGGTAGTACAAATGACATCGAGATAAAAGCTGGAAGGAAAGGGACAGAAAGCTGCCTACTCAGTTGTGGGATGCTCCTACAGTTGCAAACCTGGTGCTCTGATTGCAACATTTTCCAGCAAGATGCAAGGTCTGGATCAGTGACATAACAGAAATTAATTATGACCTTAGAGTAGCCTTACAAGAAGAGTACAAGAAAAAAGAAAATCCAACCTTCTCTTTATTATAAAAACTGGCCAAATTTAAGGAGAGTTAATCTTTCTTTTCTCCATGGTCAAGCTCCATGCTTCAAAGGCAATCCTAACCTTTGTTCTCTAATCCCATTCCCCATTGTGATCTGAATTTGAAATGAAACAGTAGAAAAAAAAGCTACTTCTTCAATACTTCTAATAAAGAAGTAGCATGTGTAACGCACTGAATATTTTAATTTAGGTACTACTATCTTCCTGATGTTCCAATTCACTGTTGTACACAAGGTTCTTTTACACATATTAAAAAGAACAGCTGGTTCTCTGAATAACAGGGTCTTCTTTCTACATACATAAGCTACCTTGGAAAGAGAAAAGGTATTCCAGAAATTAAATGTGGGGCATGTGAATTTGAGAGCACCAACCTATTGCTTTTCTTCAGTGAGGTAGTTTTACTTTGTGCAGGCTTAGCTGCTTTACAAGGTTTGAGGTAGTACAAAAAACTTTGTAAATGATGTAACTGGCAACTAATTCATCAGACACAGATATTTACATGCTTCAGTTTACCAGATTACACTTACACAGATATTTTTGGTTTTATGATACCAGCTCAGAATTCTCTATGAAATGTTGTTTAGTAGTCACTCACTTTTAAAGCACGCTGGAAAGTACTGATGGACAATAATGCCAGATCTTGCTGCTCCTCTGCATAACGCATCAGATAAACATATACAAGCTTTTTTATCTGAAAAGAAAAAACACATACAGACCTTTTTATCTGAAAAGAAAAAACACAATTAACATCATTATCAGGAAATTTTAGAATTCTGTAAAACTAAGTCCTAGATTGTATATTTTTGTCAACAATTTCTTCTTTGAAGGAAGAGTTAATACATCACTGGACTACTCACATGCTTCTCAAATGTCTTATGATTTACTGTAATTCTTTTAATAAAAACTCTGAGGTGCCACAGTATTTCTTAATTAATGATAGAGTCAGATGAAAGCTAATAACACAAAGTACTGCTTTGTATTATCAACTAGTAAATAAAGCCTTGAGTAACCTAAGAAGTTGACATGTGGCAACTGACTACCTGAGCATTCCTCATGTTTTTTTTCTTATGGAAAACAGGTTAAACTGAATAGCCAAGGATTTCAACAAGCCCATTTTACTTTACCCTGAAACTCAAAATCAATTACTTTAACACGTTTAAAAGAGAATATAACTTCCAGCTGAACCATGGTAACTTACACTATTTAAACCTGATTAAAAGAGCACTTCTGACTATGTCTTGGACAAAAGCAAAGGGCATTAGATCTCCCTTTGCCTGACTACAAGCATTCAAAAGATGTAGCCAATATAAGCATACTGCAAAGGAGACAAGGTTCAAAGATTAAGAAAACCTCAGTATGATTTTGGGGGAGGAGGGTATTCAATTTAATTCACTTTACCCCCTCATGGCCACTATATGCCCAGGAAGCAGTGAAAACATTTTTTACATTCGAGTTGCAAACTGACTATTGGGGTTTATAATGGAGAATTCTGAAAGACCCTCAACTACAGCTGTGCTATAATTACTGTCACTATCAGAACATGTATCTTTGTGCTAATTCTGGCAAAAAGCGTAATATTAAATCACAGAAGGTTACACCATACTAAATTATTTGTTGTTCAGCTATAGACAAGCAGCAATCAACATTGACCACAAGAGGCCTATGCACTGAATGACTGCAGGTGTGCAAAGAAAGCCTCCTTTCCTTGAAACCACTCTGTGACTAGAAATGGAAGCACTTAGAGCTTCGTGACTACACTATTCTTTTGCTATTTACCTTCATTCAATGTTAAAATGCTCCTTTCTATAAAACTAATCATAACAGGGGCACATTAGGCTTGAGGAACACAGGCAGATTTGTTTAATTAGTTTATCAATATAAGCACATCAAACTCCATGAGTTATTGACCAAGACTTATTTTTGTTCTATACCACCAATTGTTTATTAGGTCACTTTTTGTATCCTTACCATCCATGACATGATGCACATAATCAAGTTAAGGTCAGCGTGTACTTATAAAAACAAAAATCACAAGGCACTTCAGTAAACAATAAGATGCCCTTTGCTTCTCTTAAAACAAATGAACGTGTTCTACTGCTTCTTCACCTCCATTTCCCTGTATCAGAGCATTCAGCCCTGATTAAAAAAAAAAAAAACCACAACCAAAAAACCAGCAGCCATTTCTGGACAGGAAAGTCACTCAGATACAAAGTCACTCAGATGAACTAATCCGGTTTATGCTACTGCATTCTAGCAATTTATACAGACAGATTTGTGTAAGAATTCTTGAGGAGAGGGAAAAATTTGGCAAAACATTTTCAGAAAACAGTATGAGGATCAATGTACTGGGAAGCTGACTTAACCCAGTAATTTCTTATCATTTCAAAAGCATCCTAAAAACTGATAAAGGTTTCTGAGCCCCAGAAGTGCTAACTAGATGGCTCTAAGTGTAGCTACATTATGACCTAAAGTTGTCATCTAACTAACTTTGATAAAGAAATTAGTCAGCTAGCTTTACTGAATGCCCTGGTCTATTTTCAGTTAACAGTCTCCTCCTGCACAAATATGTTAGCACTAAATGATGGAAAAATAAGCAATGAGGGAACTTTACAACATAGAGGAAGACATGTGAATGCACATAACTGTCTGTTTGTTTTAAAATACAAGAAAAGGCCCACAAAATATAAACATTGAAAGGCTTCTGCTAATTAGTTAGGTTATGTGATAAAACCTTGTCTGCACACACACAAAGGAGCATGAAGAGACAAGGGGGCATGCAGGGGTGTTTTCAAGTAATACTCTGCCCTAGCTTCTCCCAAGCCCATGACAGGAAGAGAGTCAACACCAGAGCACCTTTCAGATTGAGGGGCTTTTCTGCGTACAGGTATGGGATGCAGACAAAGAGTATTTTAGGATTGCACCAGGCTTATCATGGGATGTTTTGGGGAAGAAGCAAAGTGAAGGAGAAATGGGGGGAATCTATAGGATCTGGGGAGGAACAAGTTGGGGAACACAAAGGGATAAGCAGATAAAAATGGCTGGACACATCTAAACAGTTTTCTGGTTGGTACATCTACCCTTCTGTGCCCTGCACCTGATCAGCACAGTCTGTTGTATTTTCTCATTAATTCATTAAAGCGCAAGCCCATGTGTCTGTGGTGCCAGTGACTGGAGTGAGTGCAGGTGTATCAGTGGACCAAGCTGCACTAGCTGGTGAGTAGGTGAAGTGGCCTGGGAAGGAGGTACATAAGGGTGTGGGTGTCTAAGGGCAAGACCACAGGAGGACTGGACTATAGCATAGATCAGGGGAGTCCCATCCAGCTGCCAGAAAAACCAGATGGTCTGTGGGTCCCCAGCGGCAAGACCCACGTGTTTGTGTGCATTTCTCTAAGGGCATAACCACAGATGGTTGGCTAGAAGAGGACCAGGGGAGCTCTGGCCAGGTCCAGTTGTGTATGCCCCATGTGCACACACCTGTGTGTCTAAGGGCAAGACAATGAGGGGGTAGGTACCAGGGGACCAGGAGAGTCCTGGTTTACACATGTTCATATGTGTACAGCAGTTTGTACCAGCAACTGAAATAGGGCTGCAGCCTCAGGGCCTCATATGTCTCAGTGCCAGCAACAGGGGAGACTAGGATCTAAGGGCCTGCTACTGGGAAGACCATGTTGGATGGACTGATCCACAATGTACATATGTATGTATACATACATTCCCACTAGCAGACTTGAACTATCTTGAACTGCCAAGCTGCTGTTTGTGTTCATGTGAGTACCCTGTGTCAATTTATGTGGCTGCCTCTGTACATGTGTATTTCTTGTATGTGTATATACACAAAACATGTGTGTGTGCACACCTACCAGGAATATGCTCCCAGTCTCACTAGTGGTTGGGACAGAAGCCTGCAGCTGCAGCAGTCTTGCTTCTGTTGGGCTAGTGGTTCCAGCCCTAACAGTTAAAAGCACTCAAGATGAGTAATACTGTTCAAGGCACTCCTCTCTAGTGTAAGGTATCTCTATTCAAAACTGGACTTAAGAGTACTCGTAACTTAGAAACACGAGTTGAAGAGGAAGAGACTGGTCTAAGTATGATTCCTTGCCCCATTTCCTTTTATCACCTGTTATTAAAAATACAGTTACAATTTCTGTAAATAAAATTATTCGAATACAGTAAGTTCTGAAAGACTCTGAGTTGTCATCTTTGCACACTTATGCCTCCTTGACTTACCAGAGCTCAGTATTTGGCCTCAGCCAAATACACATATTCTTTCAAATAATGGAAAAAACAAAGTTTTAAAGTAGTAGCTAAATAAGAATAACTTATTTAAAGCTAAAATTAGACTCAAACTGGACTATTACTATCCATCCATGTAAAATAAGGAAGAAAACAGACCTATCTGCGACCTGCTATATCACAGCATATTAGAGACAGGAGTTTGCTGAAGTCATTATTGCAGGAAATACAACCTTCAGTGCCATTAGCCAGGGAAAAAGCAACTTTTTATTCCCATTAATAATAGAGGCTGAAGTACGTATTTCCAGGAGAGGAGGAAAGACTTGGAGCTTGCATTCAATTGACTTCTCTTCTTAAAACACAGTGCTTCCAACCACTATTTTCGTGCATTTTTCCAAAATTATGATCCTGCACAGTAGGAAGTAACTAATATCATTACTTGCTCTCTCAGCTTTCCTCAAACAGATGCTTGTCGGTCACAATGTGATCTGGGATTACAAACTTACAGATGTTATTTGCATCCAAATCTACATTGTCAAGTCAGCTGTAACCCTGACACCTCTGCACTGGAGCTGACAGTGTGTGCATTGTACTAGCAGTGAGCACCAGAGTAACATTTTCCTTATAAAACCTCTGGTTGCACAACTTTCTAATGCCGATTCTGCTTTAGATTTCCTCTAGCCACATAGTAAGCCTGTGGATTTAAACACATCATAGTTGAACGCAATCTCCATTTTTTAACTTCCTGGAAATTTGAATTTTCACTCATCCAAGATGGGCTTCTTTTCTTCTTGCTTTCTTATAAGGAAAAAAGATAGAGAAGTAAGCTACTTTGTGTGTCTAACACCTGATATTGGGGCTAGAACAAACATATGTTGCTAAAATAAAATGATGGTAAATAGCCTGAAGGAAAACTTTCTATATCCTCTACTCTTTTTATCTACAGAACTCCTGAAAACAATTATTAAACACGTCTCCTTTTTAATTAAAAGTCACACAGTTTAGTACAAGTTGAATAAATTTAGTCAAGCAAATTGTCTCAAGAAATTATCTCCTATCACAGACAGATTCTGACTCAGGTTCTTCATCAGCTACTCATATAGGAAGTTTGAGTTGCTCTTGTCTGCCCCTTCATATATTCCTTTCATTGTTTTAATACAAAATAAATGAGTAAGGACATATTCCCAAGATGCCTGTATGACTTTGCTTTAAAGTCTTCATGTCTTGCAAAACATAAAGTTAACCCAAAGATTTGACATTATACTATATATTAGCAAAAATTTCTTCTCTGCTCAAGATGAGACCTATCTTCCCACCCCACCCCAGCCAAGTCTCTCCAAAAGATTCTGAAATTTGAAAGCTACTTTTCTGTAATCTTCTGGAATCACAGGCATTCACATTAATAAAGCATTTAACAAATTTTCTAAACTGAGTTATAAGAACAACCAACATTTAAGTACTGTGAAACAAAAAGTTATTTTAAACACACTTCATTAGTAACATCACATTTTGGCTAACCACAAACTCACACAGACTTGTTTAACTGAGTTAAAGTGATCTCACTCTGCAATCCCAATGCTGAGACTCTCCTCCTATAAATATACTACATGATTAGAAAAGTGAAGTTTTTTACCCAACCCTTACCTCTCAGCCTTGATTTGTAACAGATGTTTTCAAATACAATGTAGCACAAACCCTACTCAAACTTTGCAAGCAGCACCATACCTCAAATAAACTATAGAATTACCACCACACACTTCCACACATTTTCTCTTACCAATGAATTTCTAAATGTAAAGTTATTATTCCTCCCTCTGAATCACCCAGTAGGTTTCCTTTATTTACATATTAAACTATTACTGTAATGTCACTGAAATTAAACCCTGAGAAATTCTATTGAAAAAATACTAGAGATTTATTTTATGGTTTATTTTAAAGTCTGATACAATTAGATAAAATTTTCATAAACAGAACTTCCATAACAGTATGCTTAATGAGCTATAGGAATACCTCGATATTTTTACTGGCAACGTTCTTCACAACAGCAGGAAACAGTTCAGAAGCATTTTTTCCCTTTGCAATCATCTAAAAAATAATAAAAGGAGAGAAAAATATTAGTAATGTAATAATGTAATTTGAGGGTATTAAAAAAAAAAAGACAGGCATGTATTCCAGTTCTGTATTTTAAACCTGATTTCTATGAAGTTGAGGATAAAGTCTGATTTTTTGTTAACTATTAAGACTTTAGGGGATACTATCCATACAACCAAACTCGTAACCAGCCTGCACTCAGGTGTTTTGGGGGTGGAATCAACAAACTGGACTTTACCATATCAGACTGCAATTTATTTTTACTGCTTAAAAAATTACTTAAAACAAGGATCTTGCTAATCTGAAAACCTTTACAGAATTACCTTTTGGGAGCTACTATCCAAAAAAACCCCAAACCAACAAAAAACCACCAACAGTACCATCAGTAGAAACCATCTATCATCAGTAGAAGTCATACAAGTTTAAGTCCCATTCCTTTTCCCTGGAACAATCTTGGTGTGCAACAGAACCAAGGAGAAAAAAAAATAGACATTGCACTTTAAAAATAAAGGAAGGTTGTTTTCCACAGCAAGTTAAACATGAAAGGCTTTAAAGTGTTTATACAGAACAAAACAAGGTAAAAGCAAGATCAGTCAACTCACTGTAATTTTTTTAAAAGGAAGACAGTTTTCACGTTTGATCTCAGAGAAATCTGAAACTAGGGCAATAAAGAGCACAAACAACAAAACCCCAGTTTAGCTTTAACCCTTGTATGAACAGCTTAAGGAGGAAGTTATTTAGAAGAAACCAGGTACATTAGAAGGAATAAAATACTTCAGTGTATGCTACAGCTGCACGACTTTCTTATTTCTTAGAACTAATTCCAGCAGAATGTCTGCCAGTACTTCACGCCCAAGCTGCAAACCCTGGAATGTCATGAACGTGTTATATGAAGTTACAGTGCTGCTGAATATGCAGAGCAGCCCCAGCTATGGTCAAGGGCAGGATCTAGTCAGCCAAACATCAAGCTAATGAGAAAGGATGAGAGCTCACTAGGGCAAGCAAATATGCAGGGATCCAACACAGGAACATGAGCTTTGCAACTGCAGTTTCTGCTGTTCTTAACCATCTCACATTCCCACCATTATTCCACATTATACAGCTGATTAAACTTCATATTCCTAACTCACAGGTCTATTTGTGTATTTCATTGATAAAACACACTAAGGGCATAAAGAACTAGGATCTCATGCCACAAAACAAGAAAAACCACAAAAGGGGTTTTAACTAAGAATCTAAATTAAAACCACTGCTATCAGGATTGGGGGGGTGTGTCTTTGTAATAAATGCCAGATTCAGAATGACTAGAGCTAAGTAGAACTTAGTAGCAAGATGCAATGCAGAGAAGTATCATAAAATATTATCAATCATCTCATCTTGATGCAACAATTATGTTATTTTTTATGTTATTCAAAAATTGGGATGATCCTTAGACTTCACTGATAGGCTGTAACAGTATGGCTCTACGCATTAGTTGCATTATTTAACTGATCAGCCATAATAGCTCCAGTGTAGCATGTAAATATGTATTTAGGGTCTTTCTTAAAAGAGTGTATTTTGACTCATTAAGTCATAATGATTAGCATAAATCCTCCTTAGCCAATGGATCATTAACCTGAAAGAACATAATGGTTCTGCCCAAGACTAAGGTCTATCATGTAATTTCTGTTGCTGTGCTTAGACATTGTCCAGTTGTGTTGTCTTATATACCTGGAGTTCCTGCACAGACAGAAACTTCCATTCTAGAGTAAGTTCTATGTAATGTCAGGGTATGCTAAATTTTTTTTCCCCATGAGACACACACACAGATACGGATTAAATTCTCTGTGGGAAATCAGGCATGTGAATTTGTTTCCTAAATTTATGCTCTGAAATTTTCAGGAGTGAAATTCCACTGAGATTTTTTTCCCCTGACGAGAACTTCAGACAGGTTTCAAGATCTGGTAACAAGAATATCTTGGTTGTTGTAGCATCAGTGTATGTTTTAAAAGAAGTATCAGCTATTGTGTTTTCATGTATATAGTAGAATAAACTTGGTTCTGGATATACTTCAAATTTATTTCTAAACCAGCGCTATTGCTCATACTCTTCCAAAGTTTGCAATTATTTTATGGCATGCACGTAAGGAAGATATATAAAAAAATAACATACTGACTGGAAAAAAAATAATGCATTGATCATTAAAGTCACACATACATATTTTAGTTGAAGGTAGGCTTAGACACCTTCATGTATGAGGAGGAGCAGAAAGGTCAAAACTGGACTACTCTTGTGCTCCTACCTTTTTTACATTGTTGAAAGTAACTCTCTACATTACAGATTTGGTTTTATTTGTAATTAATATCCTTCTCCCCAGGAAAGAGTTCGCAAACCACCTTAAAGGAAGAAGCAGCAACAAAAGGAGCCATAAGCAGTGTTCCCTTTGTACTTCTCCATCACCCCTATGTGGACAAATGAAGGTTCATCCTCCTGAAGTCTACTAAAAGAATAGGACAACTATTGTTAAGCACAGCTTTTTCCCCTACCTAAAATTAGTGAAAATAAGCATTCCACCGAGACACATTAAACAATACTCTGACAGCAGAGTTCCTTTTTTTTTTTTCTAACAATAAGGCTAGAAGAAGCCTTTCATCTCTGGGAAAACACATCTCATCCCAGGGAACTTTCTAAATGTAAGCACATAACTGATAACACAAAAGCATCTTTGTCCCCAGCAAGAACATTATCACCACTGCTACAAGGCCTTATGCTAGTTGTGCAAGGTCACAGTCCTGGCCTGTAAAGCTTATTGTTTCAGTTTGTTATGTGAACAGGAGGTTGGTATATGAAACAATTCAAACACAGGACAGCAGAAAATACCTTGAAAATACGGAAGAGACTGAAAACAGAGGATCCAGTAATTTGAAGAACTCCCTTGTGGTCAAGTAATGGTCAACCTTATGAACTAGAAGGCTGTTTCTGCTTTAAGAAAAGCAGCAAGCAGCTGAGCAAGTTAAAAACATTCAAGAAAGAGAAGGTACCTGCTGCCATCTGGGAAAGCAGTGTTCTTCCAGCATTGCTCAGCGCTTAGAACAGGGACAGAAACCAAGGACTGGGAACTTACAAAAGGGAAAAATCTGGAATTGGGGAATGGGGGAGCAGAAGAAAGAATGTGCTCAATTCAGTTCTGCCTTCCCTTGCCTAAGGAGCTCCTGAGCGTGATCACCTCAGCCTAAGACCATCAAAGACCACAGCTACGAGTGCTAACTGCGTGTCTCCAGCTCCATGGTATCACATACTTCAGGAAATTAAAGAAACAGTTGTTAAGAACTGCTCTGAATAGGTAGCACCAGCAGGTATTTATAATGACTGGATTTGCTCATTGTGCACTCATTTGTAATGAGATCATTGTAGGAAAAAAAAAAAATAAAACAAATCAATCTAGTAAAGCCTTGGTTTAAAATTTAAAGTTGACCCAATTTAGTAGTTTCTAACTCCCCATATACATATATATACACACAGATTCAGTTGCAACAGTTTACAAATACAGATAAAGATCCGGCCACCTTTCTGAGAAAGAAAACCAAGGGAGGAACGGGCAACTCTGCCCAACTCTCCTGCCCACAGTAATACCCAGAAGAAAGATCTTTTCTGAGGGAAGCAGAAGAATGTAAGTTACCATAGGTTGAAACCATACACTCCTAAAGGCTATAATTTGTTGCAACAGCACCTCTGTAAGCCAGAGGTGGCCAAACCCTGAGGAATCCCACATCATATTGGAGGAGATGATCCCAGAAACCTTTCACCAAAAAAAAAATTTGTTATGAAATAGTAATTGATAGGTTACCCAGATCTAATAGCTGATGTCTCTGGCAGGCCCAGGATCAAATCCAAAAGCAGAAGACAGCTGAGTAAAATCTTCATCACTTGAGAGGGTAACGAAGGGAGAAATCGCTAGCTCTGAAGTCAGAGGAAAGAACACGATCGCACAATACAACCTGTACCTACTCACTTCATTACATGCTTGGATAGGATTAACCCAAATAAAAACCAAGCAAAACAAAAAAGCACATCCAGAGGAGACTGAAGGAACAATGACAGAAAGCAAATGCAGAAGTTCCAAAAAAAGAAGTCAAGTGGACACTTAACAGCTTTCCATAGCATATTCTTCTAATACTTATAAGGAGAAACAAAGAGATTTTATGAACCTTATGATGCTTGGTTTACAGGGTTTAAAACACACAATGGTGTTAGACATCATTTATTTACCTCTATGGGTACATAGTTCACCTGAAATACTTAGTCAAATATATAGGCAACACACTCAAAAAAAAATCCTTATGTAATCTAAAACAGTAAAAATAGTAAATGCAATTTGTTATTTTCCTCCTGCAAATTTCTGTTGTTTCCTATCTGCTGAATTAGCATAACAATTGAAGCATCTCTGAAGGAAGGATATCCTATTTAAGATCTCAGCTCCCTAATGAAAATAGTTATTTACAGGCATATTGGCACTGTTACGTAAGTATTTCAAAAGTATATCACTGTGTATATTTTGATATAGCAATTTCTAGACAAAATTCAGATCAAGGACTTTGCCATAGCTTTTGAACACCATTTAGAGATTCAAATGCTGAACTTGCTACAGGATCTGTAAAGCAAAACCAGTATTCACATCCAAGAAATGAAAACAATAATAAAAAACAGGTATCCTAACAAATAAAAGTAATAATAAAAAAATCACATACCCCAACAATCCTTTTCATAGCATCCAACTTTGCAGAATCTTTACTGCTTTCCAACATTTGCTTTAGGTCTTCATTTCTATGGTAGAAACACAGTAAAACATTAATTACAGTAAGTAAAAAATAAAAACAGAATGCCATTTTTATACAATTGCATCAATTCAGCAACTTAAGGTGAAGCACTGCTCCTTCTTCCCCGCTTTTAAATCTTATTCGTTAACAAGTTGGCCTAGCATAATGACACGTTTAGTAAAAGAATCTATCAGATTCCAACAATAGTGCAAGCCCATGCAACTTTAATCTGCTGTTAGTTGAACCTCGGCTGGAAGGCTGAAGTCTTGAGGCAAGAGAAGAGCTCAATTTGAACCAACAAATTCGCTCCTCCCTTTTCCCCATTGAGGACCAGATGTAATAGCCCAAGGCCGACATGTTTGTGTTAAAATATACTATCAGCTTACATAAATCGCTGACAAGCCCAATAGCAGACTTCAGTATTGTCTGAACTTCAACAGGAATCATCTGCCTTTCTGGACTGTAAATTGCTATCCCCTGTCCTCACGATTAAGAGCCTCAGACTGGTAGTACGTCTATTCTCTATGCCATAAGATTAAGATAGATTAAGATGAATAGATACAATAGTGTCCACGCACTTTTTACAGCTGAAATATAATTCTCCTACAAAAATATTAAGTCAATAAGGATGTTCTCCCGCAGACACAGCTTCTCATTAGCCATTACTAATAAGAAACCTCACCCTGTTTGGCTCTTTAGATGCAAAGAGATCACAGTCTAACTGCACTTAGAGACTCTGAAAGTCTACAAAAAAGGTTTTTTGAAGAAATAGCCTTTTGTAATGTCTAGATTGCTTGAGTACTAAAAAATATGAAGCAAACGATGGCTCAAAAAGAGACACCTGCAATATTCCAAAGAACTCTGAAAACTTTCCAAGTTTACAAACCCTGTGAGCTTTCATACAGTGAAAGGCAACATAGAAATCCAGATAGGATTTCAGAATTGAATGTGAAAACTAGATATATTCTGATTTATCACTGCCCTCAGAATTTCAGATGGGGAGGAAAAAGAGGTTTAAGCCACAGCCAGAATTAGTTACAATGAGACAAAATGTTGTCACCCATTCCTTCATAAACCTTTAAATGGCATTTTTCCTACATGCAATGGACACAGTCACTCTAATAGAGCAGATTTTCCTCGTATTTTCAGACCCAGTAGTGCACATACTCTGCGCCCCTCCATGAGAAATTCACATTGCCCACACATTTCAGTGTACACTCACAAAATGAAAAACCACAGCTAGATGGGGAAAAAACCCAAATATTTTTTCCTAATAACCCAGAAGAAAAACATGCAAAATTCAAGTTTGTGCTGAAGACTACCACCCAGAAGTTGGAAGTGACAAAAGCAGACAGTAGTCACAGGACAAGTATGAGTTGCCAGTGTAACAAATACAAAGAAAAAAGGTAAAAGGTGAATTTAAGACCTGAAGACAGAAGAAAGAAGTATTTAATAATGAAATGTACTTCTGATTATAGAAAATATCCTATCATACATTTCAAGTTATAACATTTTTAAATCTTAACAGGGAAGAGATAAACCAGAGAAATAAAGACATGAAGACCTGCTTACAGCCAGCCTTCGTTTCTTAAGATGAAAACAGCAGCACGGAGGGGAAATAAAAATAAAAAAAAAAAAACAAAACACCCACAAGTTCCTGATGAATCCATTTGGAAATTAACCGCTACATGAACCAATGTTATTTTTTTAATCTTTTCTAACAAATAATCGACAATTAGCAAGCATTAGATACTTACAGAGTAAAACATGGCTCCATATATTCATATGGATCATCATCAGCAAGACTTTTTTCTTCTACAGTTAGATATGGTTTTAGCGTAACCTCAAAGTTTTGCCCTTTAAGAGCAGATTTAATAGTGCAAGACACCTCAATTATTTTACCCAGCATTGTAGAATTTCGTTCCATTCTTTTCTAAGTACAGTATTGAAAAAAATAAATAAAAAAAGATGACTGCACTCAACCAAGCTTGCCTGCTGAGACTGAGGACTACTCAAAAAAAGAAAATCTTCTTAAGTAACAGGATACCCACACTCCCTTGCTGTTTTAACTTCTGGAAACAAATATCCTACGCAGATTTCAAAGGTCATTTCCCTCCAAAAACAACTGTTATCAGCAGCCTCAATGAACAATGGGAAAGCCAAATGCATTTCACCCTTTCAGAATACAGTTTATTGTACAGTATAAAAATATTTTCATCTTCTGAGCATTAAGAAGATTTAAGGGAATTTCAATCCTTAAGTAAAATCCCTCAAAACAGAAAGCATAAATGCAAGCCTCACACTGGTGTTCATATTTCTATACTCATTAGTTATTCTGAAGTGACAGTTCTTCATTACACAATGTTAGACAAATAATTTCTTTATCACTTATGTCCACCTGCCAGGAGCTCAGGGAAATGCAAGCAATCCTACAGCTGCATCAGTACTTTGCCTCTCCCCACTAAAACTTTAAGAGTAATTCTAGCCTTACAAAGTCAGGTACATATTACGAACAATTGAAATATAAGCTTTATTACTTCAGCAGCAAAACTAGGTTTAAAGAAGTCTAATCTGATAGTTTACAAATAATATGGAGCTATATGAAAGACAGTAATGGTAGGCAAAACTCCCTTTGTTTTAACTCTATCCCAGCTGAAACCAGCAGCCTATTTTCCCTAACAGTAAGAAGAGGAGAAATTACTTTTAAAGGGAAAAAAAAAAACCAAAAAGATTCCCACCTGTCTGCCCACTGCCATATCTAAGAAAGCAATGAGATTTCCCTGAGTTCCCGAGTTGTAGTCTAGTGTCTTAACCTCTATGTAATACGGCCCCACTGTCCTAAAACGTTGCCAGCTGAAAGCACTGGTAGGGACTATAATTAGAAATATTATACCCATATACAACATGATAGGCTATGAAATACAATCTTTATTATTTGCATAGCATCTACCAAAAAAGGCATTGAGCCAATTATTAATATATTAAGGAATCGGTACTCCGCTGCCTTTGTAATCTTTACTATCACAGGCTTGTATTCTTGAATACAAGAATTTGAAAACTAAAGGAGTGTAAACTAAAAATGCAAATTCATTGCCTAACTTTCTTTCATAGAAAGCACCACAAATGACAGACGATACAACATCACGGACACCACAAAACAGATCCAGGATAATACATTCTCTTTAAATCACTGGTGGGATGTTAAGCGGAAGAAGACGATTTCTAGCTTTCATCTATGTTTTAGTATTTTATGATTGTAGCCTTTAAGACAGGTACTACTTTTGTCTTTTTAACTCAAAGCACTGCTTTCTTGATGTACCTTTGCACCTTTCTGGATACGATAGGGGTATGGATGTGATAGGCCTACCAGTTACGATTAATCTTACAGATGTTACAGTTAGATTTTTCTAGTTCTCATTCCCTTTCATGCTGGCTTTATTCCTCTGCCATTAAAAAGAAAAAAAACAAACCACCAAACCTTACAAAAACCCCATCCCAACACCCCTAAAGAAGATAAAAAACCCAACACACAAACCTAGAGCTTGACAGTTAAGAGAACACACTGCCAAACAACTTTAACAGCCTGAAGTCTTATGCCAGAAAGGACCCTGACCATTACTCTGCATGCTGATCACAGCAAACAGCAACTAAAGAACAACTCTGAATATGGCATACTCATTAGCACACACTTGGTCACTAAAACTGGTATCTTGCTCAAATTAAGACTAGGATTTCAGATTCCATTGAACATTACCCACTATGTCAGTGATAAATCTGGGCCTCTCTCCATTACTTCATCATCTTGTAGGAACTCTCACTAACCTTTAATCGCACTGAAATACTAATCCATAATCTATGGCATATTATTTGCCACTGTACCTACATATTCTGAACAATCGTTGTTAAAAGAACACTTACTCCACCCTGGTAAGATACACATTTATTATATCTCCTATTCTTTTTAGCAACACCATAAGATGAAACCCCTAAACTGCCAGCACTTACTACAGTTCCAATATACCCAATTACTGAAAGCACCCACCCACTAATCATAAGGCTTTCTTTGTAAAAAAGCAGAAGTTTCATAAGCATCAAAACTGCAACTGAAGCCCAGCTGGCAATGCAACAGTAATTCTTTAGCTACAAAATATTTACTCCTGGAAGTTTATCAGCCTGTTGTTTTACAAGTGAGAATTTAATTATGATTTCTCATGCCATCTGTATGCCACAAAAGCTGGGAACAGTTTTAATCACCTCCAAGAAAGGGGAAGGAATTTTAAACAAATAAACTCATAGTGAGACAGAAGCTCTTCATACACAAGGACAGCACTGTGTTACTGCAAGATAAGCTGTAGGAAATGGCAAACAAATCCACCACAGGGGAGGAAGCTAGCTTCACCAGTTCTGATATTATGGAATGACGTGTTATAGAACAAGAACAAAAGCTACAAAAGCCCCATTCAACAGAGTTTTAATAATGCATTTCTTGTTTTAAGTTCTCCATCCACTGTGTACTTTCAGTTACATGATATTAACTGCATTGCTCTTGCACTCACAGTCTTTAGGAGACTTCAGTCTGGATGACATACTTTCAACCACAGCATACTAAGACTTATTTTTGTTGCCTACAGCAAAATGTTCCAATGTGAAGTTTGAAATACTGTGAACATTACCAGGTTTGAAGCAGAAAACCCCTACTAACAGAGCATCTTAACTTAAAAAAAAAAAAAAGTTTTTTACATTTTACTGGCACTGAAGAATCCTTAAAATAAATTGGATTATTATAGCTCAAGCTATTGTGTAAACCCTAAACAACTTTGAATTTAACACTTAAAGAGGAACTGTAAATTGATTTCAGAGCCATGTAACATGGAAGCTAAAACAGCAGCAAACACATGCTGCAATTTCAGTTTATTTTGCTGTTTGATTTGGGGTCTTCCTCTAGCAGGAAATTAAGAAATTTGAGCTTCACTGTGTTTCATTCTGTACCACAAACTGTTTGAATGA